GTGGTGGGTGGTGGTGACAGGTGGTGGCGGATGGCGGATGGCGGGTGATGGTAAGTAGTGGTGGTGGGTGGTGATGGTGGTGGGTGACGATGGCGGGTGGTGGGTGGTGCGAGTGGGTGGTGGTGTAGGTGGTGGTGGTGGTGGTGGTGGTAAGTGGGTGGGGAAGAACGAGTGGCGGGTGGTAGGTGGTAGTGGCGGGTGGATGGTAGTGGCGGGTGGTAGGTGGTAGTGGCGGGTAGTAGGTGGTAGTGGCGAGTGGGTGGTGAGTGGTGGTGGCAAGTGGGTGGTGAGTGGTGGTGGCGGGTGGTGGTGGGGAGTGGGTGGTGGGTGGTGGTGGCGGAAGACAGCGATGGAAAATGGTGGTGGGTGGTGGCTAGTGTTGGGTGGCAAAAAAAAAAAAATTTGAAAACTCAAAATGGAAACACATTTTTTGTATTTTCGTTTTTTGGCCAAATTTATAAACTAAGACCACTGATTTATAAATCAAAAATTTTAGCAAACAAGTTTTTATTTGAGTTTTTTAAATTTTTGTAAATATAAACAGAAAACTGAAAACGTAAGGGTTACCAAACGGCACCATAGTATTTATGTAAATGTACAACTATTGTAGTTTTACATTTTTCCCAAATTTTTGCATTCCATTTCTGAATTCAAAAAGTGCATAAAAACTCAAAAAGAAATTTTCATTTGTTTTCTAACTTTTTTTTAAGAAAAAAAAATTATTTTTTCAAAAAGTGCATAAAAAGTTTTTTTGTTCTCTAAAAAATATAGAAGAATACAAAATAAATAATAAGCAACAGAAGTAGTTCCCAAACTAGTCTGTTTTGAGCCCAAAATTCAGCCACTAAACAAACAAAAGAATGGAAAAAAATTATTGTTCAAATGTCAACAACTTGCGTACGATTTCACTCATCTACTAGGAAATTGGTTTGTACATAAAAAAATCGCAAAATCTGAGATTGCCATGACATAAACAAACCTCTTCAGGTAATAAGTAAAATAGAAAAGACTCTCCATTTATGAGCCCTCCTGTTCTGTCATCTCTTCAAAACAACATTTCCTACATTCTAACAAGAAGAAAAAAAAAGAAAGTCCCCTCACACATGCCGTCTATCACTACACATTTACAAGTTTGTCGGTTGCAAGGCCAAACTGAAGTCAACCTTTGACAGGATCTGCTCCATCGTGCACATCCAGATTGCCCCTTTCTTCAAAATTGTTGTTACAACGAAGCAGATTTGGAGTAGCTGAAAAAATCGCATGGTTCTCACCAGTTGGATTTATGACTGGGTCATGAGTGGTCTCGCCTTCCAGCAAAGCAGATGCAACATTCTGTGCACTCTCACTTTCAGGCAATGAAGCAGACGTCGTATTTTAGGAGCTCTCATTTTTGGGCACAGCAGTTGATGCCACGGTGGTTGATGTAGGAGCCTCAGCTACACTGGATTTACTCGCTCCATCTTTCCCACCACCTATCACATCAGCATTATGAATAAACATCAGTGACTAGGAATGATGAATTAACACATTCAAGAGAACCAAAGAAGGAATAAAAAGAAATGAGGATGACTACTTTCCGGGCTTCAAGATTGTGCCACGTCAGTACTTTTTGTAAATTGAAAGTATAAATTATCTAGCCGTTGACCCATAAAATGTTGGGTCAGGTTTTTAAATTGTATCTAATATTGGGTTTATAAACAGGTGGATAAAATCTGAACCATTAATTTAAAAAAATGCCGACATGGCGAGCATCCAAGCGACAGACTAGACGTCCAGTTCGGGAGGACCCTGGCCCGATAGAAATTAGTCATTTCCATGACCAATGATCCGGTGAATTTTTCTTAAATACAACACGAAGTGCCAAAAGAAAAGATGAGACATAAACAGAGTTTTAAACACAAGCACGTGCACACGCACACATATAGTTCGTGTGTAAGGGAGAAGAAAGAAAATTACAGTCTGGCACCGATTCAATTTTTCTAAATACTACAGCAGTTGGCATTGGCCCCGGACACACGTATATGTTCCCAAAATATTAGGCAGTGTGAGCAAATAGAAAATAAGCAACCCCAGAAATTTGCAAAAATGAAGACTGGAAAAAATAAGGAGAAGTGGACCTGTATTAGAAACGCCAGCAGCGGGTGTATTTGTAATTGAGGGCACGGATGAACTTCCAGATCCTTTTTTCACCTTTGACTGCAGATATAGAACCAAAATCCAAGATATATTAGTTCCATTTGCTCGTAAATTCCTTTTCCATGCAATGGTAAATTATACTCTCATAATGCTCTAAATCTAATAAAAGAACAATTGCTGAAGTTGTTTTCGCTGCTTCTGCAGACATTCAAGCGAAAATTAAGTCAATAGGCCACAGAAGCAGCCAAAGCAGCCAGTGTTGAAGATGAAAAAAAAGTGCCAATCACCTCCTACGAATTAATTTACATCCATTTACACAATGCATTTTGGCATGCCAACCAAACACCTCTATAAAGTTTACTCAATTAAATACCTTGGCATTTTCTTCACAATACTTCATTACGGCTGGGATGTTCGTGTAATGGCCATGCAACAGTGTGTACGCCCATAAAAGAAGCTTCTGTGGAATATTCAAATCAAGAACATTGACCCCATCGAAGCCTGGATAGTAGTGTCCTGCAGTTGCTAACAGAAACGGCACCACATACAGGTTGACACTTGATGGGAGCACTGCACAGGAGATGTCCCTACTTAAGTTGTAAGAACATCTAAGCAGAGTGGCAGCTGTCTCCAGATCTTGCTCTGAAGCTTTCTTGATTATAACATTTTTGATTTTCGACAATAAAGGGTTCCATTTTGTTTCATGATTTTTTAGATGGTTTGGGTCTTCAAAGGAAGAATTCCACAATTCATTTGTCTGCAGACAACACAGAGCTGTTGGCTGCTCTCTGACCCCAAATCTGACGGATTAGGAACTTGGATCTCACTTGAGAGTCCAGAATGTAAAGGTGTGATCAATGCCAAGCTAATTACAAGCGACCGATACCAAGCAACAGAGACATGCTTATAAACTTTAGCACAAGAGCTTCTCCATGCAATTCCCTGGATGCATTGTCCAGAAAAAAAAGAACATAATGTCCAGAACTTCTAATTGGATAAAGTTGGCTGTCCATGAGAAACCAAAATCCAAAAATAAATAAATAAAATGCTTACAGTTGTGGGGGCTGCAAAAAAGTCCCTGCTCAAATGCCCATCGCGAGATACTCAATAAGCCCATTGAGCATGATAATGTTCCTAGCTGGTTTCAAACAACAGAATCTTTGGTGTCAATCTCTACAGCTTGAAGATAGCAGCGTAGAGCACTATCATAATGGGCAGGACCTTGTTGAAGAAAAACAGTGGCAAGGTTCTTCAATGCCAAAAATCTGTATAAAAGGTAAATAATAATTGTATAATATAAACTTGCAGAATTTATATACAATAAAATATCAAGATGAATGGTGAAGTCTATTGGGTTCCAAAATCATAAAAAAATAAACCTAAGAATCAAACAAGTTTGCTCAATCTGTGAAGATAATTTATGTTTATGTCCGTAATATTGTAGTTCTTATGATACGAAAAAAATGGGATTGATGCCTCAACAAAATTGGAATAAAGTTGATCCAAAAGATCTGGATTCAAGAGTGTTTCCATGACTCTACCACCCCGAGTCAATTTTGTTCCACTTCATCCCTCTTTCATGGCTACATATCTTTCAAGCCAAGGACTAGGAGATCTTTCTCCTGTTACATTAACCCAATTTCCATTTCATGGAAAAGCCATCTTTTTCCAAACAATGTCTTTATCATTTCATCCAATAGACTTCTGTTAGATAGAAAGAGATTTGATAAATACTGATAAATATTAGATAGAGTATTAGAATGGAAAGATCCAATAGATAATGAACTATTGGTTCTAAGCCATCTTTGGTGAGATTTCTCAATATAATGCTAAAAATAGCTCGAATTCCAAAAGAAAATGTTATTTTTTGATGAGACATATAAAGGAATATTGAAAATTCAAGTGGCTAAAGTTGAAGCAACTACTTTTGAAGTAAGAGAAAGAAAAACGATGACTAGAGTGTGAGAGTCAAAGTCAAAAAGATGATTCATCACTTGTTTCTCTCATTCACAATTGAGCGTGAGACTTTCATCATCTCGTAAGTCCTAAATGATAAATGCAAAAAGATCTGAGTTAGTGATACTCTTTTTCTTTGGTATACCTAATCCTGGTACTTTTTTAAAGCCAAAATCGTGACATGAGCCACATTAAAAAACCCAATCTGACCCAACCCAAATCAAATCTAATAGTAGTTCACATAGATCTAGGAATGAACCTCTAGATTTGTATACAAGCATATATTTTATTATTGAATATATTTGGTTTATTCATTGGTCAAATCCTTTACTCCGTAGTTAAACAGATCTTTCGAAGAACTTATTAATCGGACAAGAATATAGATAGTCTCATTCTACAAGTCCATACCGACAACAATAAAATGTATAGTAAGTGGAAAACCATCATAATGCTTGCGAGTAAATAAGTCTACAAATGAATGGATCAAATCAACTTGGAGAATTAAAAAATTTGTATGAGTGATACGTTTTGTCACCACTTTGTCAGACATTCTAAGACAAGTGCTTCCTAGGTCCAATTCCAGATCTACAGCGAAACACAACTTTAAACTCTTCTCAACTAAAAATAACTATGTCTCACCAAGTCACCGTAGAGATGTGTAATATATAATTTGTCTATGTGTCTATCTGAGAGTGCAGAATTTACAACCTATATCTTTGAACTATCTAAGACAGTAATTTCCCCATATTGCCTTAGATCTACTTGAGAACTATTACAGCTTTTTATAAATCTAAGACAATATAAATCTAAGACAACAAATAGCTCCTTATTGCCATACAAGTGACACATGTTAGTTTTCCACTGAAATTATCCTTCTATATATTGGAGGTTAGGAAGGACGAGATTCATTGGTCTCCTTATAAAAGAAGTGGAAAATAAACCTTGATGTTGCTCAGCAACTATAGAAATTTATTTAAGTTTTGAATGTTTTGGTTAAACAATGAGAGAGAGAGAGAGAGAGCACGTGCGCTAACAAATGAACAAACCTAAAAATTGTCACGACCCAAACTCGCCCCTAAAAGTTTGGTCCATGACCGACCTGTACATAGGCCTCAAAACAAAATGTCACGAATACTTATTCAAATACGGGCCATAAGCGGAAGCAAATATCAATATAAAGATAACGTCCATTGAGCTTGTGCATACATGAAGAAATAAATAAATTTAGGCGTTTAAATACACTTCCATATTTACATTTACAATCACAGAATTATGCAGATCTCACACACACACTTATATAAGACTCCATAAATTACACAACTCCCAGTAATCAAAATTAAGGCCTCAACACGGAGGCATACCCCAGGCGGCTTGGCAGACAGGTAGACCTCAATACAATTCTAGTGTCAATCCCTGATGGCTCACCTACATAAATATACATAAAACGGAGTGAGCAAGGCTCAGTGAATAATAACAATGTAAGGAGGTGAAGTGAATGAGCATAACCTTGAGAAATATAATATGCATATGTCAAACCATACATAGGTCCTATCCATAATTGTATTCCGGAACGGCCTCAGGCCCACATGTAATACAGAACGGCATTGGGCCGACATATGATACAGAATGGCCATGGGCCCATATATGATACAGAACGGCCTTAGGCCCACATAACGACAGTTGTCCAAAGCATTGTAGGGAAGATGGAACATCAGCATGTCTCCATCCCCTTTGTCGTAGAGCCATTAGTCATATGCAGTTCATATCATTCTAGGGTAGGTAGAACATCGACATGTCTCCATCTCCCTCGGCCTTAGAGCCATAAGACATAAACAATTCACATCATAACGGCCTCAGGCCCACTTTTATTAATAGGAACAAAACGACCTTAGGTCCATATTAATGCTACCGTTCAATCATATCCATTAATTTAATTAAAGCATAATATCCATGGTATATGCTATTCACAAGCCACAACATGTAAATCATAAACACAAGAAGTAAATAAAACATATCGTTACACTACTATTACTCACAATGATGAGCTTCCGGTAGTAATGGGACGATGTTCTCGTCTTGACCTACAACACAATGCACATGGCAGAATATGAGAATAAAACCAATCTCTTTCTTGCTCTTTAATCAATTAGCCATGGTGGTTCTAAACTCATTAGTCCTCCATAGGTTATAATCCATGTCTTAGAAAATAGGAGGAATCGTTAGGAAAATAGTTTAGACGAAGAAATGGAACAAAATCGATAGACAGAAAGTGAACAACTTTCACTATTTTGGGCATATCTATTTTTTTACTAATAATTTTGGAGTGAGACTACCACCATTGAAAACTAGACTTCCGGGGCTTGAATTTAGGCTCAAGAATCACTTAAAACGGAGTCCAGATGCAAGAGATATGCTTATTTGAAGTTGGCTGAACAGGGCTGTCCCGCACATGCGGGAAACTTGGCCGCACATGCGAGACCACGTGCTTTTGTAGCAGAATCTGGAAATGGATTGCCGCACGTACGGGAAGACTCGCCACACGTGCAGCTCTGGGTCAGTTTTGCTGTCTGAAAATGTTGTTTGCTCTAACTCTTGCTCTTTCCATTTCTAAGCTTGGTTTCCAACTCAAATCACGCAAAAACATGTAAAATTGTCCCACAACATGAGAAACTATCATCATTCAAGTGTAATTCCATCTGAAACAAATCAATCTTTGCCTCAAATTAAAAATTCAAGTCCCATCTTTCTATATAATCAAACTTCCATAATATATACCCCAAAATCATATAAATACATCTTACATATGGTTGATTTTCACACAAAAACTTGTTATTCCATGAATCATTCTTAAGATTGAACGCAAATCAAACAAATTTAAGGAAATCAAAGTTCAATTCCTTGAATTCAACCCATTTCATCCATAATCCCAAAACACTAGTTCATTTACATATTAAACTTCCAAGTTAATCCTTGATTTCAAGTAATAATTGAATTATCTACAAAGATAATAGTTAAAGCCACATACCTTAACCCAAATCCTTGCTTTTCCCCTTAATCCCTTCAATTTTCCCAAGCTTCATGGTTGATCTTCTTCTTCTCTCTTCAATCTCTTCCATTTAGCTTCAAACCCTCATGAATGACGGGCTCTCTCTCTTACAGAAGCTTTGTCTCCCTTCTCTCTCTCTCTCTCATGGTTCTCTTCCCGCTCCCTTAGACATTTTTTACCCAAAGTGATGAGTTCAACAACTCATACGGCATACCTATGTATATATACCACACACATAAGCTTATCATAAATAGAGATAGCCAAACGCACCATTACGAATCGCACAAAATCAAATTCAATTAAACTTCCCAATTGACTCTAAAATTTTTGCTGATCACAAATATGTCCTCTGTTCTGGTTTCTGAAGCCTCTAAGGCTTCAATTTGCAGTGCAAAGTTAACCATCTAAACATACCTTAACAAATCAAACAAAATAAATTTCCAATTAACTTTCCCAATTAGCTCTAAAAATTTCCCTTAACATATCTATGTACCCAATTTCGATTTCTGAACCCATAAAGGTTGGCAATTTCAATTTTAAAGTCGTAACTCAACAGATAATTTTCAATTCGAACAGATATAATTAAATTAAAGCACATTAACCCATAATTACATAAAGGTAACTTCTGATACGTATTTTTTGGGTCGTTACATTATAACTAAACTACATTAAAAAAAAAAAATTGGAGGATAAATTTAAACCTGAGTTGTAAAAGATGACCGTCATTGGCACTACTTTTCACCTAAAACAAAGAAAAGCAAAAGTGAGAAACTATTGACAACCCAATAAGTTGCTTGATGATCTAGTGATCCTTTGGAGCACATGATCCCTGTGCACTAGAAACAAGAGGATCTTTTAACACGGATTCTAATAGTTCACGAGCCTTCTCATATTCCTTGTCTTGTAACTTAAGAAGTCCTTCTTGGTAAATTTGTGAAAAATGAAACTCCTACATTGACCAGACGAGGTGTATGGAAGTAAAATACACAAAATTTAACCTGGAGTTTCCGTAACTTGAACTCGTCATGCTATACTTGGTGAGGAAAGAAAAACAAGCAATTTACGTTTTAGTCGCTACCATGTCACTAGCTCTAGTATTTACCGCCATGTCACTAGCTCTGGTATTCACCAACTAGGTTATTATTAATGAATTTAATAACCTAGCTAATGAATACTAGCATAAGAAAAGCACGAATAAATAAAATAATTGGATGATATTACCAAAAATTATATATTATGAGAAACTAACACCAATATTAAGATATTTACCAGCAATCTCAAGTGATTAATGTTGGGTTTCTATTCCATGTGTGAATGGAAGCCATGGAGTCAAGGAAAGACGGCTACCTTGCCAACCGACAAGCCGTAAAGATGGATGGCCACCGAAAGTAAAGAAACAACTAGCCATGTGCAAGGCCAGCCAAGCTCTCCATCATTCTCTTTAGTGTATAAATAGAGAAAGAGAGAGTAGAGGGAGAAAGAGAGCAAATCGAGAGAGAGTGAGAGATGTGAGGTAGAGAGACAATCTCCCTCGGTGTGAGAGAGAGAGACGGGTGTGTAGGGATGGTGTGAACTCCTCCTCTATTGTAATCTTTATGTAATTTTTCTATAATATCTGCATTGTTGTAGTGATAACTGGTTACTCTCCCGTGAACGTAAGCATTGAGACCGAACCAACTTAAATATTGTGCCTCTTTGAGTGTTAGTGTGCTTTTCTGCTTAGTAGGATTTCTAAAATGTTTTAGGCGGGATTGCTGATCCTCAACAATTAATGTTTAGGGTCTTGAATAATAAAAAAAGTCCAAATCCAAAGTAAAAGGGATTAATGTTTAGAGTTTTTGTTGTTTAACTTTTTTCGTTTTTTCTCTGTTAAATTTAACGATAAATCTGTATGAAAAAAAAGAAAGGAAAAAAAGATAAATTAAAAGGAATATATTAGTAGGACCTTAATCGTTACTATTTTTAATTAAAACTTTTTTGACAATAGATTTTTTTAACCCAAAAAAAAAAATTTCCTATAAAAAAATTAATGTGTATATTTGGTTTGAGTTTTTTGATTAAATTTTTTGAAAATTGAATTTTTTATTTTTTGTATTTTTTTTGTTTTTAGTAAATATTTTTAAAATTTTAAGCATTTTTTTTTACTTTTTTAAATGCACCTTACTTAGATATATTTAAAAAGTAAAAAATTTATAAAAAAATATTTTAAAAAATTAGTAAATATATAAAAATATGAAAAATATACCGAATTCTCGTTTTTTTTTATTTTTTGTATTTAGTGAATTTTTAAAAGATTTTTTTTATGAAAATTATATGTTTTTTTATATTTATGTTAAGTGTCTAAAAATTAAAAAAACTACTTAAAATATTTTTAAAAATTTACTAAAAATAAAAAAAATGCAAAAAATAAGAAAATAAAATGTCCTGAAAAGTGGTCGTAAAAAACTAAAAACAAGCCAACTGATTTCTTTTCATTGTTTACACGTCCTAAAAAAAAAAAAAAAAAAAAAAAAAAAAAAAAAAAAACTAAATTAATCATTTCACAAAAACAACATATAAATCATTTATTAATAGGCACACTCGTGACTGAACCATTATTTGCATCATAATGCTACAAAACACATTCACTTAAACTTATTAAAGAGAGGGAGATCAAGAACAGGTTCATAACCCCAATCCATGCATGCAAATCAACATAACATACTGCCAGACATAAACCACCACCATTAGCTAGTAGTAGAACACATTAGCTATCTCCACCACCACCGTCACCGGCACCGCCACCATCACCACCATTGCCGCCGCCGCCGCCGCTGCCACCACCATCAACGCCATTGTCGCCGCCGCTGCCACCATCAACACCATCATCGCCACCGCCACCGCTACCATCTTTCGATTCTGACCCTTGATTAACCTCCTGACTCTGAGCTTTGTTCTGCTGCACTTTCTGACCATATTCTCTAGCCCTCTCCCTCATATCCCTAGCCCTGCTAGCAATCCTCATCCTCGCATAATCGAGTTGCTCCGCCACCGCCCCACGTCGCCGTTTTCCCGCAATGTAATTGTACAACCACGCCAATGCCGCAGCTGCCGCCACGCCGCAGCTACCGGAAAACAAGAATCCGGCGGTGGCCAAGAATATTATTATCCCAGTTGGGAATAGTATTGGGCTGAACAAGATCAAAACCGGAGTAGCGATGACCAGGGATATCACTGTCCCGGTTAAGGTTAACCCAGACAGGAACAAGAGTGCAGCGCCAATTGCTGATGTTGTTAAGAGCATAATGGAGTGCCGAGAGGTTGGAGATGTCTCGTTGGGTTTCTGGGTTATGGGTCTTGATTGATCATCGGACATGGTGAATGGTTGTGATTGAAGGTGGGTTTGATCAAACGGTGAGTTAATGCTATCTGTTTGACGAGAGAGTATGAGAAAGAGGAAGCCAGAACGTATGTATATATTGGGGATAAAGGTGAGTTGGGAGACACGTGGCAACAGGGCAAGCCTCATCTCCTCGAGATGAGTGATGGGTCTGGATTTCAAGAAGAATGATTGGGTGTGGGAGGAAAAATTATTTCAGAGAAAAAGTTAAATAATACAAAAATCAATAAGAGAATAAACACAAATCCTCTGGCAAGTTTGAATAAAAAACAAAATCCTCTGACAAGTATTTAAATACATTGGCCCTCTTTGCCAAGTGAGTTTTGGATTATTTTTTTAGAAAATGTAATGGATTTTAAATGATTTATTAAATTATTTATCAAATTTTTAATATAGGTGTTAGAATTACACAATTTCATATGTGTGGATCTCACACTTATGTGAGAAGTTTGGTATAAAATTTAGTAAATCATTTGGGGTTTCTAGCATAAATTTTATTTTTTGGCTAAAATTTGTAAAAAGATAAAATAAGTTAAAATAGTTAATAAGATAAAATGTCATATTAAATTCACAATTATTTTATTTTTTCTCTTATAAATATCATATTCAACAACATAAAAAAAAAATCTAATTATCTTCTCAAATACAAAAACTTTAAAATATTAAAATAGTCAAAAATTAAAATAATCTATTAAAATAACCAACTTTCTAAACGATGCCATTATGACCATTCGATCATGTGTTGAGTGACACATGAAATAATACAATAAATACTAAATAAAATGATAATAAACATAGCATTTTTGTTATAACATTACTTATCAAAATTATAGTTAATTTAAGGGTGTGATTTTAAGAATTCACACAGGTGGATAATTGTAAGATAATTGTATTATAAAGTTTAATTTGTATTGTAAGATAATTGTATTATAAGTTTAAATTATTATTTTCAACTTGCAATAATACGTAGGCAGGTGGAGGACACTTTGTGTTAGCCGTTTGGCAATTAATTTTTTTAAGTTAATTTTTTAACTTTTTGACTATTTATAGTTTGAGATTAAAAGTTTGTTTAGTTTAATTTTTTTGGTTTTTTTAATTTTTGTAAGAGAAAAAATAAAATAATTATGGTTTGAGTGTGAAATTTTGTCATATAAACTTATTTAACTTATTTTATTTTTTATATTTTTTTAGCCAAAAAGCCATTGCCAAACTACCCCTCTATGGGTCTCAAAATTAATCAAATGTTTTAAGTATCCGATTATTACAAAAAAAAAGTCATGCTAATGACAACACTAACGTCATGCTTGTTTAAGTAAGGTGATTATTAGTATAATATAATTGAGTGAGGGAATTATTAATGTAGTGATATTAGGTTGGAGATCTAAAATAAACTCTGTTTATTTGTGCATTATATAATGATATTAGTTGGTTGACATTAAATTTTATAATTAATTTATGCGTACGTAGATGAATTCTGTTTGAGAATTTGCATTTTACTTAAAATATTTTAAAATAAAAATTTTATTAATGTGTTTCCAAATACATATTATTGTGCTTTAAATCTTAAAATGATTATTCATATTACTTGAAAGTAATGTAATAAAAATATATAATTTTTTAAAGTTTGTTTAATATGTATCTTAAAATCACACCCTTAAATTAATTATAATTTTTATAAATAATGTTATAACAATAATGCTATGTTTATTATCATTTTATTTAGTATTTACTGTATTATTTCATGTGTCACTCATACAATATTGACATAATAGATGACCGAACAGTCATCATT